CGGCGGCGGAAATAAATTACGCGTCGTTTCCACTTTTACGCGGTGGGTTGCCAAAAAAAAAAAAAAAAAGAAAAAAAAGAAAGAAAAAAGGGCGTCCGAAATGTCGACAAAAACCGCACCGAGAGCTGTTCCAAACGTTCTATATAATAATATTATGTACGTGCATCATGCACACTTTATGAGCTCACGCCTCCTATAACTTATAACTTATATAACGTACGCAGTTTGCCAGTTTGTAATGTATTACGTACTTTATACGTATATTTAAAAAAAAAAAAAATTTCCAATTCGATAGCCGATGCTCGTATGTTATTTATTTGTGTCGACATTTTCCGAGTTGATACGCGGATAAGCGTATGAGACAACCCACTGAGACGATCGCCTCGAAAAAAACCTACTCCGGCACGTCACTTCTGTCGAGACTTCGGAGCCTCCACCCACTAAAATCTCAAAAACGATTTCCGCCAAATTGCGTAGCTGCTGGAATTGTGCACCTGTTTAGTAGACATTTAATCGTCGGCACGCGCAGTCGTTCTCGTCACAATAATATTTCAACGGCGGCGGCGGTGACGGCGGTTCGAATGTTTTAGCGAAATCCATCACCGGGCGCAAATACGGATAATCGTTTGTTGCGTTGCATTAGGCTAGTAGCCGCAAGTGTACCTTGCGTACCGTTTAATTACGACACACGCCATAATATCGCATTGCAGCGTGTAAATTGCACACAATAACATATCAAATACGGCGTATAATTGACCGTATGAAAACGTCGTAAATGTTATGTCCATAATCCGCATTATACGCTAAACAGTATTGAGCGGTTATTGTGTGTTCTGTTTATATTATCGATACTGCATACTGTTATTGCCGGACAGGATTTTAACGAAAATGCACAACAGGTGCCGGGGGCGTACAGAAACAAAAAACAGAGCGGGTCGACGGTGCAACGCGACCGGAGAAGCCGTTCGAAATTGAATACAACGTATTATTGTCGCGGTCATGTTGCATTATATTGGGTGTTCCGCGTATCCGTTGCGCTATCCTCCTGGATAACGAGGATTCTGTGCGGAGCGAGGGATGCATTGGTTTTACAATGATTACAAAAATTCTACCCGAGATCTTGTTCTGAAGTATCGAGTATAGCGTAATTTCTGAAAGAGAATTTTCTCGGAGTGATAATTTGAGACGGTAATTTTTTGATCTCCGTAATTAATTGGAAAAAGAGTAGGGAAATTTACGAAAATAATATTTACTCAAAGATTTAAATTTTGTTTTTTTTTTTTTGTGGTAATTTAACTTAAAATGTCGTAGAGATTTAAAATTTGGACAGCAACCTTATATTATATGTGTGGTAACATTTTACAAACATAGTGGCCATTTTAATTTTACTGGTTTTTTTTTTTACGTATTTTTTATTCGATAGGTACCTACTCTGTAGATAACACTGTTCGATCAAACAGAAATGCAAGACAATAAAATAAGAGGACCATTATCTTGTGACTTTATATTCAAGAAAAATAAAAATTATTGAATATAATGTATTAAGGTAGAATTTTTTTTTATAAGAATTTTATTATCGAAGGTTAAATTGTTTTAAGTGATTTGCTAAGTGATGAAATTATATTAATATTTATTATATAATACATATTTTAAGTGTTTGTGTCAAGTGCTCTTATTTTTAATTTTTTTTTTCCCCTTCTATAAACAGTTTTCCAATCCTGAAATATTGCTCCGATCGTCGAGTATAGGAGTGGTTTCTGGTAGAAAATGTTATCTAGTCGATGCGAGACCGAGGAAATTCACGCAAAAATGGTTTTGTTTTAGATTCTGAACGAAGGGAAAATATAATCGTGTTCTGCAAAAGTACAATTATTACGTTAAACGTAATGTTATAGTATGTTATAGTAACTCCGAGTGGCGACGGTTTGTCTGTATTGCTGTCGATAAAAATCGTAATATTTAAACCGAATATTAGCTCGTGTTTTAATAACAGTATTTACAAGTTTCGCGACTTACCGTATTTAATATACTGCGCGTGACAAAATATCTTAAAATTCTTACGGTGACTTATTGTATGAGTAATAATTTCATTTCACGATAAAAATAATATTTTATAATTCTGTGACGGGCATTATATTATTATACATAGAATAAATAAAGTAAGTAGAATAAAAAATAATAAATCTATTTCGTAATGGCGCTCGTTTTTTTTTTTTTTTTTTTTTTTTTTTACTATTATCTCAATGATTTATTATACCTACGCCATTCCGACGTTAAAGGCTGATCGAGTAGGTACTGCACATTTTAGTATACGTATAATTACTTTAAAGTAGGTAGGTATAGGTATGTTATTTGAATCCAGAGGTCGTGTGTGACAATAAATGGTTCAAATTGAACTTGTGTATTATTATGATAATTATATATTATACCTAACCTACAACCGTCGGGTTGTATTATTCCGTTTGTTTACACGGTGAATTATTATTATTATTATTTATACATGTAGTTTTTTTTCTCTCAAGCATACCGCGAAAACTCGCGTGTTTTTTTCTTTTTTATTATTGTTTTCCGTATACGAAACGCAATAGACAAATATTATTTTTAGTACCGTATTATTATCATTATTATTATTTTTAGTTGAACTAACAAGACTATGTTATTATAATAAAGACAAGGTACCCATATAAACTAGGTATAAACAAAGTATAATACATTACGAAATTATTAATGAGTACTTACAACAATTATGTACAAATACAATAGTCTAATAAATAGTAGTAGAGTATAGACGAGTTTGAATTTATCATTCTATAGAACGTCATCCCTATAGTTTGAAAATGTATTGCTTATTAAAATCTGTCAATTATAACAATATTGTTAATTACGAAGCACTAAATTCCGTAGACAGATTATATTGAAAGTACATATGGGTGGGGCGAATGGAAAGTAGGGTAGTAGTATGTGTTTTAGATTCTGAGGGAAACGAACATTACGGCATTTCAAAACACGTATATAACCGAACGTCGCTCAGAATCGTATTTCATTAGCAATGGTTTATCGCCGATTACAGATATGAATTAAATTACTCAATATCAGTAGTTTTCGACCTATGCGTCGCGGCTTCCAGGGGAGTCGTCGGTTATTATACACGGGAGCCGCGTTCGCAGTAGAAACTAAAAATTAAATTGTAATATAATATAGGTTTAAAGATCCTGTTACTACTGATCTACCGTCGGAATTAACAATTTTCGAACAAGAACAACTTATCCTCAGGTTCAGAATCAAAATCCAAATTCGCATCATCATCTTTACCGGAAATTTAGATAGCTATGAAGAAACAGTATGCGATCGTATCCAATAAGGCTATCAGGACTTTGATTCCATTTGTTTCTTCATATTTATATGAAACGGGTTTTTCGACCTTAGCAGTTAATAAAAATATAGAGGAAGATTGAATGCCGAAAATAAAATAAGAATCGCGCTTTCGAAATTTACGCTACGATTTGAAAATATTATGCAAAAAATACAAGCACAGCTATCCCATTAAATATAAAAATTATTATTTTTGTATTC